TACACATGTCATTATATATACACATGTCACTATATATACACGTGTAATTATATAGACACGTGTTATTGTATATATACACGTGTTATTGTATATACACGTGTTATTGTATATATACACGTGTTATTGTATATATACACGTGTTATTGTATATCTATAGACGTGTTATTGTATATACACGTGTTATTGTATATATATACACGTGTTATTGTATATATATACACGTGTTATTGTATATACACGTGTTATTGTATATATATACACGTGTTATTGTATATCTATAGACGTGTTATTGTATATAGACGTGTTATTGTATATATAGACCTGTTATTGTATATATATAGACGTGTTATTGTATTGCGAAAGCCGCGTGTCTAGCCGTTATCGAATGTACGGGGGAGCGGTGGTGCAGCGGTTAGCGCTACGCTGCGCTACGAACCCGGCGACCCGAGTTCGATTCCCGCTCACGGCCACCAACACCACCGGTGACGACTATCTGGGGCCTCCTCTAGGTAGACTCAGACTCAAATTGGTACCTTGTGTAAACATCGCCACACTGGGAAGACAAAGGCGGCCGGGCGTGGTGGTGGTGGTGGTGCTACTCGCTCAGATGCGCCACGGTGCCCTGGAGATGTTAACTACCTCGCTTGGTCTACAGGAGGTCGTGGGTTCGATCCCGACCCCTGACGCCTGTTGTTGATTTGGAGTCTGCGTCTCTCTCTCTCTCTCATCGTCAGGGTGGCTAGGAGATGTTGACTACCTCGCCTGGTATACAGGAGGTCGTGGGTTCGATCCCGACCCTGACGCCTGCTGCTGCTGCTGTATATTTGGAGTCTGCGTCTCTCTCTCTCTCATCATCACGGTGGCTAGGAGATGTTGACTACCTCGCTTGGTCTACAGGAGGTCGTGGGTTCGATCCCGACCGTGATGCCTGCTGTTGTGTATTTGGAGTCTGCGTCTCTCTCATCATCATCATCACGGTGGCTAGGAGATGTTGACTACCTCGCCTGGTATACAGGAGGTCGTGGGTTGGATCCCGACCCTGACGATGCCTGCTGCTGTATATTTGGAGTCTGCGTCTCTCTCTCTCTCATCATCATCACAGTGGCTAGGAGATGTTAACTACCTCTGTGATGATGAGGGGGTTTACATATCAAACAGGAGAATTTAGCATTGAAATAGTTTGATATGTAAACCCCTTTGTCAAGGTGCCTCACGTCTCTCAACCAGCTTTAAAAGACGCTGCGAATCTTAGCAGCGTTCATTGAAGCTCTGTCGTCCCGACAGGTCTGTTCCTTTCACCTGAAGAAGGCCACTTGTGTTGTGGCCGAAACGTCGTGAGAATTTTATTGTTTTACTTTATTATTTTATTCTCATTCTACGTGGTGGTGACTTTACCGAAAGAACCAAAGGAAATGAATGAAACTTAAATGAATCTCATTGGTTCTTTCGGTAAAGTCACGTGGAATGGAAATAAAATAATAAAAAATAAAACCATATTTTATTTCATTATGTTTTATCACGTTTTATTTTATTATTTTATTCCCATTCTACGTGGTGGTGACTTTACCGAAAGAACCAAAGAAGATTACTAGATTATATCATAAAAAAATATAAAATTATATCTTTTTAAACATTATTTTTTTACGTGTTATGTTTCGGCTTGGGTCTAAATTGCCCACTGTCATCTGACGTTGGCTGTAAATCGACCACGGCCCCTCACGTTGTGGGAAGCTTCTGGGCCAATTCCTGGACTCGTGGAGTTCTGCCATTACTAGCTGGGTACATTTAATTAAAGCGTGTTTAAAAAAAACTAAAAAACAGTATTTTTTAATATTCTTAGCTCTTTCGGTAAAGTCACGTTGAAGGGAAACAATAAAGTAATAAAATATATATAAAACAATAAAAATTCTCACGACGTTTCGACCATAACACAAACGGTCGTCATCAGGTGTGTCGGTTTGCATAAATTAATGTGTTATGGTCGAAACGTCGTGAGAATTTTTATTGTTTTATATATTTTATTATTTTATTGTTTCCCTTCAACGTGACTTTACGAAAGAGCTAAGAATATGAATTACTGCAGTCACGAAAGCTTTCAATCAAAATTTAGTAATTTTTGTAAATATTACTTATTGTTTGTTAGCAGCACTTGTCCCCAACTTTCTATTTGAAGGCTACACGGAGGATCTTTGTCTTTGTTGTGGTAATCAGTGTGGTGGGGGTTGTCTGTGGAAGTGAAGGAGGCGTTTGTCCACGGAGTTATTTGGCCACGCGTGCCAACTTGGGAGTCTTTCTGGCCCGGGTCCCATCCACCACGGACATTGGCAGCACGGCGGTCATTCATTCCCATTCAAATGCCCGTTCACAGAAGCCGCGACATTGCCAACGATCTGCAACAGCGTGCTGATCACCATCATCATCACCACCACCACCACCATCACCACCACCACCATCACCACCATCATTATCACCACCATCACCACCACCATCACCACCATCATTATCACCACCATCACCACCATCATTATCACCACCACTATCACCACCATCATTATCACCACCATCATCACCACCACCACTACCACCACCATCATCACCACCATCACCACCATCATTATCACCACCATCACCACCACCATCACCACCATCATTATCACCACCAGCACCACTATCATCATCACCACCATCATCATCACCACCACCATCACCACCATCATTATCACCACCACCACCATCACCACCATCACCACCATCATCATCATCATCACCACCACCACCACCATCACCACCATCACCACCATCATCATCATCACCACCACCACCACCACCATCACCACCATCACCACCACCATCACCACCATCATTATCACCACCAGCACCACCATCATCATCACCACCACCATCACCACCATCATTATCACCACCACCACCATCACCACCATCATTATCACCACCAGCACCACCATCATCATCACCACCATCATCATCACCACCACCATCACCACCATCATTATCACGACCACCATCACCACCATCATCATCACCATCATCACCACCATCACCACCACTATCATCACCACCATCACCACCACCATTACCAGCACCACCACCATCACCACCATCATTATCACCACCAGCACCACCACCATCATCATCACCACCACCACCATCACCAACATCATTATCACCACCACCAGCACCAGCACCATCACCAGCACCACCATCATCATCACCACCACCATCATCACCACCAACATCATCATCACCAGCACCATTATCTACAGTCCACCGCTGGATGAAGCCAGCTTTTCCATCCGCAGGGGTTAAGTTGAAGATTCATCATCACCACCACCCCTACTTCTGGCATCAGACTGATGAACAGGGACAGCTGCCACTGGGGGTGCCCCTAGACTAGACCCACACAGCAGTCAATCATCACCACCCCTACTACTGACAGACTGATGAACAGGGACAGCTGCAACTGGGGGTGCCCCTAGACTAGACCCACACAGCAGCCAATCATCACCACCCCTACTACTGACAGACTGATGAACAGGGACAGCTGCCACTGGGGGTACCCCTAGGCTAGACCCACACAGCAGTCAATCATCACCACCCCTACTACTGACAGACTGATGCACAGGGACAGCTGCCACTGGGGGTGCCCCTAGGCTAGACCCACACAGCAGTCAATCATCACCACCCCTACTACTGACAGACTGATGCACAGGGACAGCTGCCACTGGGGGTGCCCCTAGGCTAGACCCACACAGCAGTCAATCATCACCACCCCTACTACTGACAGACTGATGAACAGGGACAGCTGCCACTGGGGGTGCCCCTAGGCTAGACCCACACAGCAGTCAATCATCACCACCCCTACTACTGACAGACTGATGCACAGGGACAGCTGCCACTGGGGGTGCCCCTAGGCTAGACCCACACAGCAGTCAACCATCACCACCCCTACTACTGACAGACTGATGCACAGGGACAGCTGCCACTGGGGGTGCCCCTAGGCTAGACCCACACAGCAGTCAATCATCACCACCCCTACTACTGACAGACTGATGCACAGGGACAGCCGCCAGTAGGGAGGGGCTGGTCACCCCGTGGTGCCCTTATAAAACTCAACGTTTCACCTACTCAAGCCGGCTTGTGCCCATCCTCACAGTCGGGCATATTTGCAGAATACACCACGTGGTGCCGCCCGTTGACCCTGGCCATTGACCGGGCAACCCAACGTTCCTACCAGCTCCCTCCGCAGGAGAATGTGTTCATGTACTCTTTGGTTCTATTCGGTAAAGTCACGTAGGTAAAAAATAAAATAACATAAAATCACGACGTTTCGGCCACAACACAAGTGGCCTTCATCAGGTGAAGGGACCGGACTGTCCAGAGGACAGCGTTGGAGTGAAGACAGCCAAGCCCAGGTCGCGTCCTTTAAGCTGTGTGGGAGGAAACAAAAAACCGCCTTGACAAAGGAATTAGCATAACAATGATGTAGCATAACAATGATGTAGCATAACAATGATGTACTGGACCGGCACGGGGGGGGGGGGGGGGGGGGGGGGGGAGTTTACATAATGTTGGTGTGAAGGGAAATAAGCTGCTGTGAAAGTTTGGAATACCACTACTTGAATAAATATACCGTACCATTGAAAATTAGTTTAATGTTTGGTTTGATTTAGAACATCTTTCCAATGATTGCTTAATTTGAAACCATCCTTTCGGTTGAAATTGTGTCTGTGTTTGTAAATCTGAATTGCCTCGTGAACAAATCTCTGATTAAAAACCCGTGGGTTTTGCAGAGAACCTTGGTATCGGAGAAAATTATATCGTGATCACCCACAGCGTTGTAACAGTGATCAGCCACGGCAGAAGAATTCGTTCTGCCGTGTTTCAAATCTGATTTGTGCTCGCGAATTCGGTCAGAGACATGTCGTTTCGTCTCCCCAATATAGCAGTCACCACAAGTGCAGCTCAATTTGTAAACCCCGGGGTACTGTAAGTCAAGAACGACATCCTTCACGGATGGGATCAGGTCATGGATTTTGTGTACTGTATTGAACCGGACCAGGATCTTGTGTTTGTTTAGAATTTTGGAGATCTTTTTAGTAACGCCTGCTATATATGGTAGTGTGATGGTTTTGACCGGAGTATCAAGTGGTTGTTTCTGTATGGATGGAGAAACAGCTTGGCGGATGGTACGGTCAGAGTATCCGTTTCTCTTGAGGGCCAGGTGTACATGTTTTAATTCACTGGTCAGGTGGTGTTGGTCCGAAATGCAATGTGCCCTGTGGTATAACGTTTTGATGAGAGAATTCTTTTGAGTTGGGTGGTGGTGGGAATCAGGTTTCAAGTAGGAATCTGTGTGGGTGGGTTTCCTGTAGACAGAATGCCCCAGTGAGCCATCAGATCTCCTCTCAAACAGAACATCCAAGAATGGTAGCTTGCCATCTTTCTCCACTTCCATGGTGAATTTGATGGCGGGATGTCTGGAATTGATGTGGTGTAGGAAAAGGTTCAAAGCTGGGAGGCCATGTGGCCAAATGACGAAAGTGTCATCCACATATTTCTTCCACAGGGAAGGTCTGAAGGTGGAAGTCTGGATGGCGTCTGATTCAAATTTCTCCATGAAAACATTGGATATCACTGGTGATAATGGAGAACCCATGGGGGTACCCTCATTTTGTTTGTAGAAGGAGCCATTCCAAGTAAAGTAGGTATTGTTGAGGCAGTGTCTAATCAGGGCAGGTGTATCGGGGTCTAGTCCATGTTGTACCAAATTTTCAATGATTTCAATGGTGTCAGGTACCGGGACCTTGGTGAACAGGGAGACCACATCGAAGCTGACAAGGATATCGTCAGGGGACAGTACAACGTCTTTGACCATAGAGACCAAATGAGCTGAGTGAAGTACTGCTGAGGAGGTCTTGCCAGTGAAAGGTAGCAAGGTATCTGACAGAAAACGGGCTAGCTTATAGGCAGGGGAGTTGATCGTGGATACGATGGGTCGTAGTGGAGCGCCTTCTTTATGAATCTTGGGGAGACCATAGAATCTAGGGGGTCTTGCAGCAGAAGGTTTTAAGGAGGGACGTTTAGTTGGGTCGATTAGGGAGGTCGAACTTGTGATGATCTTGTTGGTTTTTATAGCTAGGCTATTGGTAGGGTCATTTTTAATTTTTGAGTAACTTCCATTGTTGAGTAGGTTCTGGATTTTGTTGTTGTACGAATCTGTATCCATAATTACAGTAGCGTTGCCTTTATCGGCTGAGAGGATGACTATATCACTTCTGTTTTTTTTAATTAGCGAGTTCAGAGCGTTCATTTTTGCTGATGTTGCTAATGGGTTTCTTAGCATTCTTTAAGAATAGTGGCTATTTCAGCTCTCGCAACGTCTGCTTGGATGTGTCCTATGCCTTTAAGGGCCACATCGACCTGAGAGATGATATCATCTACAGGAATATGTTTCGGGGTGACAGCAAAATTTAGCCCTCTAGCCAGTACTGTTTTCAGATTGTCCGAAATCTGGGTGCTACTCTGATTAATGACGATTTTGTTAACGTCTAGTTTTGTTATATGTGGGACTGGGTTCTTCTTCGATAGGTGGTTGAATTTAGAAATCAGGTTAGCTTTACATTTGACTGACAGTGACTCAGCAGAAGAAGCAGTCATGTTGTCTACGTGATTCCAATCAGAAGGTGACATGTTTTGTGTTAGCGTTAAATAAGCTTGTAGGAGAGTCCGGTCTAAAGTATCGAGTTCAAAACGGAGTAGTCTTATCCTCTCTGAGATTAAAGATAGGCTGGCCTTAAACAGAATCTGTTTAGAATTCGGTGAGGATACAGCAGCAGATGTGAGTGTGAAAGCGATGGGTATTACCTCGTTGAAGGCCACTTGTGTTGTGGCCGAAACGTCGTGATTTTTTGTTATTTTATTTTTACCTACTACGTGACTCTACCGAATAGAACCAAAGAGTATGGATCCTTGCAGTCACGAAAGCTTCAAATCTAGAATGTGTTTATGTGTTACTTAACAACTGAACCCAATCACTGAACCCAATCAGGTGCAAAGATCAGAGGCAGAGGAGGTGGGAGGGGTATTGTAATTATATACTAGATTAGTAATCAGTTAATTAGCATGTGATGCCCCTATACGGAATTGCAATTGTAATGTGTTACTTGAATGATGCGCTTCCAGGCCGCACTAAGCCTGTAGCTGTCAGAGCGGTTCAAGTCATTTTGTAATTTATCTCAATATCAACGGATTCTCTAATGAGTCCTGGCGATCGATGATAATGAATGAGTTTCACACGACACTTACCAAGGTTGTCAGAAGCAATGTTGAGTGTCCACCCCCCGGTGGGAAGCGATGCTCTGCAGCTGCACACAGTCGCTGTGAAACAGCGGTGCTGCTTCCTCTCTGCCCCTCAAAACACCTGGACTGTGAATAATACTAGCAATAATACTAACAATACTAGTAACAATAATACTAACAATAATACTAGCAATAATACTAACAATAATACTAGCAATAATACTAACAATACTACTAATAATACTAACAATAATACTAACAATAATACTAACAATACTACTAACAATACTACTAACAATGATACTAACAATAATACTAACAATACTACTAACAATACTACTAACAATAATACTAGCAATACTACTAACAATACTACTAACAATACTACTAACAATAATACAAACAATACTAGTAACAATAATACTAACAATAATACTAATAATACTAACAATAATACTAGCAATAATACTAACAATACTACTAACAATATTACTAACAAGAATACTAATAATAATACTAACAATACTACTAGCAATACTACTAACAATACTACTAACAATACTACTAACAATACTACTAACAATACTACTAACAATAATACTAGCAATAATACTAACAATACTACTAACAATAATACTAACAATAATACTAACAAGAATACTAACAATACTACTAACAATACTACTAACAATACTAACAATAATACTAACAATAATACTAACAATACTACTAACAATACTACTAACAATAATACTAATAATACTAACAATAATACTAACAATAATACTAATAATACTAACAATACTACTAACAATACTACTAACAATACTACTAACAATAATACTAACAATACTACTAACAATAATACTAACAATACTACTAACAATAATACTAACAATACTACTAATAATACTAACAATAATACTAGCAATAATACTAACAATACTACTAACAATATTACTAACAAGAATACTAATAATAATACTAACAATACTACTAGCAATACTACTAACAATACTACTAACAATACTACTAACAATACTAATAACAATAATAACAATACTACTAACAATAATACTAGCAATAATACTAACAATACTACTAACAATAATACTAACAATAATACTAACAAGAATACTAACAATACTACTAACAATACTACTAACAATACTAACAATAATACTAACAATAATACTAACAATACTACTAACAATACTACTAACAATAATACTAATAATACTAACAATAATACTAACAATAATACTAATAATACTAACAATACTACTAACAATACTACTAACAATAATACTAGCAATAATACTAACAATACTACTAACAATAATACTAACAATACTACTAACAATAATACTAACAATACTACTAATAATACTAACAATAATACTAGCAATAATACTAACAATACTACTAATAATACTAACAATAATACTAACAATACTACTTACAATAATAATAACAATACTACTAACATTAATACTAATAATAATACTAACAATAATACTAGCAATAATACTAACAATACTACTAACAATAATACTAACAATACTACTAACAATAATACTAACAATAATACTAACAATAATACTACTAATAATAATACTAACAATAATACTAGCAATAATACTAACAATACTACTAACAATAATACTAACAAGAACACTAACAATACTACTAACAATAATACTAATAATGCTAATAATACTAACAATAATACTAACAATACTACTAACAATACTACTAACAATAATACTAACAATACTACTAACAATAATACTAACAATACTACTAACAATAATACTAATAATACTACTAACAATAATACTAACAATAATACTAATAATACTAGCAATTATACTAACAATAATACTAACAATACTACTAACAATACTACTAACAATAATACTAACAATACTACTAACAATACTACTAACAATAATACTAATAATACTACTAACAATAATACTAACAATAATACTAATAATACTAGCAATTATACTAACAATAATACTAACAATACTACTAACAATAATACTAACAATAATACTAACAATACTACTAACAATAATACTAACAATACTACTAATAATACTAACAATACTACTAACAATAATACTAACAATACTACTAACAATAATACTAACAATAATACTAACAATTGCTGTATATATAGGCCTTTTTCCAAAAAATAATATTAACAATAATTCTGCCATTTGTTTAATAATAACAATAGTAATAATCGATAAAATAAATAAATAAAACACCCTCAAACCTTGCTACCTCCCACAAGCACCAAGCATCTGGAGGTCGTTAAAGGCCATTAATTAATAAACCCAGGGGCAAAGGGAGGTTAACAACGATCTGCAAAATCTCCAGATTGCCAAAGGACTGTTCACAAACAAATATCCAGACTCACAGGCACGGACACACAGACCACTGGGCAAAACCGGACATTATAACTTACATACCTTTTTTTTTGTGTGTACGGAAAAAGTTGAAGCTTGGCTGTAAGAATAAGTCGACATTATAGACTGCAGTATTCCCCGTATTATTCCTCATTGTATCATCTTTCTATCTACGTGACTTTACCAAGAGAGCCAAGGTACGCGAGTTCCCGCAATCACGAAAGCTTAAGTCCAAACTAAGCGATATTTCTGACCTTGAGAATAAAGCAAAACAACGGGGCTCCCTGGATGCAGACAGGGAGCAAAAAGTTAATGAAACCCTTGAAATTCCGGAGGTAGCATCTACTGACGTTACAGATCTTGGTTGAACATAAACCAAATAATAATCACGGGAGGTTAGACCTGGGGTAACTCAAAAGAGACACAAAAAAAATAGGTCAACACACACGAGACCAGATACTACGTATTCGATGAAATCAGAGCCTCCCCGGCCGCCTCTTGTCTTCCAATGAAGGGAGAGTGCCTCCCCTCCCTAATAGGGGAGACCACGAAGAGAGGGATTGGGAATGCAAACAGGCAAAATGTGATGGTTAAACAGTCAAAGGTCAAAGGTTAACAAGGAGGGGCGGCGGCGGGGCGGGGTGGGGTGGGGTGGGGGCAGCCAGACAGAGGGCATCTGTTCTTTTTTTCATTCCATCTCGCAAGAGACGCGGAGAGAGGAGAGAGAATTTCACATTTAAGCTCGGCAAAAAGGATGAGCTCTGCAAGGAAGGCTGCTGCGAGGCTCGGAAGAGCGCTGCGGATGGCAGAGTCTTGCAAAGGGGCAGACTCCGGGGATGGCCTCGACATTCGTGTCGTGGGTTCCCAGGACACGGAGACGGTAGAGTAGACGCAGCACTATTACTGGTAGGAACGAAGTTGTAAACTGAGTGTACCAGCCTGCAATAGATTAATGTGTCCGTCCGTCCGTCCCCTTTCAATACTTTAACGAAGTGAAATCTCGTGCTGTTGGGTGTAAAATCAGCAATAGACAGCGCAGAGACTTGAAAAATTCCAATGTTCCTACCAGCCCACCCTGCAGGGACCTGTTTATTGAACAAGGGGGTCACACTGGAAGGGGTAGCGGCCCCTTCACCCGTATACACTCAGGGATACCCCCTAGGCTATCTAGCCTAAGCCCTAGGCTCCCGATTCCTCCGGGCTATAGGCGCTAGAGGAGGCTATCTGATCTGGCCCTGGTCAGGCACAGATCTCGGCACCCCGCCGACCAGACCGGCCCTCAGAAGGGCTCCGGCCCTGGGGCTCTGTGGCCGCACCACCGGCTTGCCGTGCCGGCCCTGAAAAGGGCAGCGGTCACAGGAGTCCCAGGGTCTATCCTAGCCGGCCTTCCTTCTTCACTGGCTCTTCATTCTTGGCCTCAACGCACTGCCCCGAGCTCTCTGGCTCCCCGCCCTTTATACCCATAACCCACTGAGGGTGGAGCCATAGCGGACGTGGTTGTAGCCACCAAGGTGTGGTCGTGCCGCACCTTCCCACACCGTGTGTTTCTTTCCCATAACACCCCTACATCAGCACTGGGTGCTGTGTCTCGCAGAGAGGAGGGGCGAGGTGATGATGTTAGGCGCTGAGTTCGGCGTGGGCCGACAAGAGTACCGCTCGAAAAGTTTATTCTACATTCGCCCTGATGCTTTGAGTCGCTTGTCAGAATCGAGGATTGCGTTAAGCTGCGTCGTACTCGGCTATCAGAGTTGCGCAAGCGGCGTGCAAATACAATTTTCAAGCTTTTGGTAGCGAGTGATCCGGCCAGCGACGAGCTGGCCCGCAGCAGCAAGACGCCCTCCTGGAAGGAGGGTGAAGAGCACGAAAGTTGAGCGGCAACGGCAAAGCGCGGCCCTGAAGCACGGGGCGGGTGTCCGCGCGGAGCTGCCAGCCGCACTTATCTAGGAGGGAGCGAGGGCAACGAGAGAGAGAGAGGGAGAGAGAGGGAGGGAGCGCCGAGCGACGAAAAGCGATCAACCTTGGAGAAAGGGGCGGCAAAGCGCCGAGGGTCGACCAGGCCGGGGCGCCTGCCGCCAGCGGACGAGCCGCGGGCGCTACCCGACGACGGGATCATCGCTGCGCCGACGGCCTAGCGTCTTGCCGACTCTCCCGGCCGGCTGTGGATAGAAAACGGCGGGCCGCCCCCGAGCAAGAGAGGCAAACGAAGCCGTTTGTACGACCCTCCCCCACGCGTTCTCGCGCCCTAAAGCGACGCATCGCCCGGCTACAGCTTCACGCGAAGAATCGAACGAGTGGCGAAGAACAAAGGCGACACGCATATCGGGGACAAGTAAGATTGCTCCGAAAAGTTATCTTTGTGTTTCAAGAAGGGTTGCCATTCCAAGGTGGTGCGTTAAAATATCAACTGGTCGCGAAGAGCATTGCCGCCCGTCGAGTTACGCGGATACGGTCATTTAGAAGTGTTTTAGTCGTTCGTTTTTTTTTCTTTTTAACCGCATGATCTTACCAATGAATTAATTGATAACTGCTCTTGCCCTCGGGACGTGTTTCTTTATTGCCCTTCGTATGAATATCGTTGCATTAATTTTTAAGGACTTTTCCTCTCGCCGTGTACGCTCGTGTTGCTCTGAGGAATAATCGACTGTACTGTTACCCAGTTAACAAACGTGACCGTTGAGGGTTAAATGTACGGATCAATGAGGGGAACGTCTCCTGGAGTACTGTGTTGACAATTCCAAGCATAAGAGTTCGAATATTAGAGTGTTATGTTTCTGTTTAGAAATTAACATTGCTTAACACAGAAGTGTCTGAGTGGTGACTTCCTAAGTTCATGCTTAATAATCTTAATTATAAGAACTGTATCCTGCGGTGAGATATAAAAAACACTAAGACATAATCAGTAAATGTTAAAGCGAGAATAATTGTGTTTATACCGATCGATAATACAAACCGAGACTACGAAGCCGAGCTTAATCTGGCGTACTTACATCACACCTGCATAACTTCATACAATTAATTGTATGATCCCGATTGATAATACTACCCTTGTCAGCGAGGCAGGGCCTAATTATCATAACGGATTGCATTAGCATAATCGCATGCAATTTGCAAACCCTCATACGATTACGCCTCCCTAATTTGCATAATTTGTGCGCATAATTACACGCATTAACATAATTTCGGACCATTACGCATATTCCCAAAATTCTATTAATTTTGATTACATTTTCAATACCCAATATATACAACACAACATTACTAACAATAATACTAAGAATAATACTAACAATACTAAGAATAATACAAAAAATAATACTAACAATAATAACAATACTAACAATAATACTAACAATACTACTAACAATTATATTAACAATACTAACAAAAATAATAACAATACTAACAATAATAACAATTATACTAACAACAATAACTGTAATAATAACATATTCTTGGTTCTTTCGGTAAAGTCACGTAGAAGGGAGACAATAAAATAATAAAAATATAAAACAATAAAATTCTGGTAGCAAGCCATCTGGCTACCATGAGAGATTCGTTCATGAGGCTATCCACATATACAAGCACAGAGGTAATTTCGACCGAGAAGATGGATTCTGGCTTAGCAATCATTGGAAGGATTTGATAAACCATTTCTCGGGTCTTAATTGATTGTTCACGCTTACGGTGAATTTCAGACAACATACATTAATTTTTCATCTCCCCCCTCCTCTTTTCCGAACATAGATGGACTAGTCCTTCTGAATGACTGCCAAATCGCTCTCCGCGGTGCTAACGTTAAAAATAAAAACGCCACTTTTTTCAAATTTTCCTGCTGTGGTTTTCACACCTGACGATGATTGCTTGTGTTGCAGTTTGAAACGTCGTGATAATTTTATTGATTTATATTTTTTTATTATTTTATTGTTTCCCTATCTACGTGGTGGTGACTTTACCGAAATAACCAAGAATATGAATCCCTGCAGTCACGAAAGCTTTAAATCAAAATAATAATAACAATAATAACAGTAATAACAATCGTAACAATAATAATAAAAAATGATAATAGTAACAATAAAAATAACAGTAATAAGAATAATAATAACAATAATAAAAACAATCATAATAGCAATAATAACAATGATGATGTTGTAGTTGGGTGGGGGGGGGTACAGGTGGGGGGGGTGCAGGTGGGGGGGGGGGACAAAGGCAGCGTGCTGCTGACCCCACCCCCACCCAATGCCCCACCCCCCCCACCCATGCCCCACCCCCACCCCACCCCCCACCCACCCCCCCCACCCCACCACCCCCCCACCCCCCACCCCCACCCATGGCCCCGCTCTCCGCCGCCGTTGTCGGAGTGCCGTGACGGCCTCCTCCGTCGCTGCTGCAGAGCGACCTCGTGGGTCACCCAGCAGCACCACCACCAGCACCATCACCATCAGCATCACCACCACCACCACCAGCACCATCACCATCAGCATCACCAGCACCATCACCAGCACCATCAGCATCACCACCACCAGCACCATCACCATCAGCACCACCACCAGCACCACCACCACCAGCACCAGCACCACCAGCACCACCACCAGCACCACCACCACCAGCACCAGCACCACCAGCACCACCACCAGCACCACCAGCACCATCACCATCAGCATCACCAGCACCAGCACCAGCACCATCAGCATCACCAGCACCATCACCAGCACCACCAGCACCAGCACCACCACCAGCACCATCACCAGCACCACCAGCACCACCAGCAGCACCAGCACCATCACCACAGTGTAGGTGTGTGTGTGTCTGTCTGTGTGTGTGTCTGTGTGTGTGTCTGTCTGTGTGTGTGTCTGTGTGTGTGTGTGTGTGTCTGTCTGTGTGTGTGTGTGTGTGTCTGTGTGTGTAGGTGCGTGTAGGTGTGTGTGTGTCTGTCTGTGTGTGTAAGTGTGTGTGTATCTGTGTGTGTGTAGGTGTGTTTGTGTAGGTGTGTGTATCTGTGTGTGTGTCTGTCTGTGTGTGTCTGTGTGTGTAGGTGTGTGTAGGTGTGTGTCTGTCTGTGTGTAGGTGTGTGTAGGTGTGTCTGTCTGTGTGTGTGTAGGTGTGTGTCTGTCTGTGTGTGTGTAGGTGTGTGTCTGTCTGTGTGTGTCTGTGTGTGTAGGTGTGTGTGTAGGTGTATCTGTGTGTGTGTGTCTGTGTGTGTGTGTAGGTGTGTGTCTGTCTGTGTGTGTGTGTAGGTGTGTGTCTGTCTGTGTGTGTCTGTGTGTGTAGGTGTGTGTGTAGGTGTATCTGTGTGTGTGTGTGTAGGTGTGTGTGTGTATCTGTGTGTGTAGGTGTGTTTGTGTAGGTGGGTGTGTGTCTGTGTGTGTGTATGTCTGTGTGTGGACCCCCCTAATGGAACATCTTCGCCGGTTAGAAACATTTCGGCTAGCCTGCCTACGATCCATCCTGGGTTTAACCTGCAGGCTGGATTGTGTGAGAAGCTCACAAATCCTTGAAAGATCTGGGCAGGGTCCCATCGGTGAGCTCCTCCGGCAGGCAAGGCTGCGTTGGCTGGGTCATGTAGCCCGCATGCCCAGCCACCGCATTCCGAAACAGCTTTTGTTCGGCCGGATTCGAGGGGGACTAAACGGGCGCGGTACGGGCTAGAGAAGAGATGGAGTGATGTGGTACAGGAGGACGTGGAGCTGAGTGGACTTGCCGATGACTGGTACCAGCGGTGTCAAGATCGGCCTCTGTGGAGGAGGCTCGTGAAGGACGCTGCTACTGGGCAGTTGGAGGCAGTCGCCCTCCAACAACAACGGAGGGCGGAGGAGCGACGCTCACAACAACGAGCGGAGCGCCGGGTGGCTAAAGCACAGCAGGTTGGCACAGTAGGGGGCACAGGTGGTGCATCAGCCACTCATCTCAGTCATCTCAGTCAGTCGACCCGTGGCACCTGGGTCTACCCCGTGACCTGCCAGCGGGCGTTCGACACTTCACGTGGCCTCAAGGTGCACATAGCCTGGCACAAGCGTCTTGGTGACGTCACCGCCACTTCGTGGCGAATGGCGGTTGTTGTTGTCTGTATGTGTGTCTGTGTGGCCACACACACTGGCTTTGCCTTCGTGGGTGGGTGTGTGATCCAGATACCATCTCAGGTATGTTTGTATGCGTGTCTGTGTGGGTGTGTGTCTGTGTGTGTAGGTGTGTGTGTGTCTGTGTGTGTGAGTAGGTGTGTGTCTGTGTAGGTGTGTGTCTGTGTGTGTGTGTCTGTGTGTGTGAGTAGGTGTGTGTCTGTGTAGGTGTGTGTCTGTGTATCTGTCTGTGTGGCTGTCTGTGTGTGTGTGTCTGTGTGTGTGTGTGATGGTATGGGGAGCGATAGTGTAGCGGTTAGCGCGCTGCACTATGAACCTGGCGACCCGGGTTCGATTCCCGCTCACGGCCAACACCAGTGACGATTATCTGAACCGGTCCCGTGCCTCCCCTAGGTCGACTCAGCCTCAAATGAGTATCTGGTGCGGTGTGTAAACATTGCCACTAGGGAGACAAAGGCGGTCGGGCGCGGTGCTGGCCACCCACCCCCTCGTGTACCGTTCCAGCCTTCATAGGTGCTCGCTAACAGCACTTGCACCTACAGTCTGTTAAGGCTATATGGGGGATCTTTGTTTTTTTTGTTTGTATGATCATAGTAGTGGTTAGAAAGAGGTGGAGGTGGGAGGGGAGAGGAGGTGGGAGGGGAGAGGAGGTGGGAGGGGAGAGGAGGTGGGGGGGGGGGGGAGGAGGTGGGGGGGGATGCTTCCGCTGCTCGCTAAGAACAGCTCTTGGTGGTGGTGGTGTTGATGATGATGGTGGTGTTGATGATAACAATGATGATGATGATGGTGGATGGTGATGATGATGGTGGCGATAATGATGACAATTATGATGACAATGATGATGGATGGTGATAATGGATGGTGATGCATGGTGATGATGATGACAATGATGATGGTGGCGATGATGATGATGATGACAATGATAATGGATGGTGATGATGATGATGGTGGCGATAATGATGACAATGATGATGACAATGATGATGGATGGTGATGATGATGGATGGTGATGATGATGACAATGATGATGGATGATGATGATGGTGGTGATGATGATGACAATGATGATGGATGGTGATGATGATGACAATGATGATGGTGATGATGATGATGGTGATGATGATGACAATGATGATGGTGATGATGATGGATGGTGATGATGATGCATGGTGATGATGATGACAATGATGATGGTGGCGATGATGATGATGATGACAATGATAATGGATGGTGATGATGATGGTGGCGATAATGATGACAATGATGATGGTGTTGATGATGATGACAATGATGATGGTGATGATGATGATGGATGGTGATGATGATGGATGTTGATGATGATGACAATGATGATGGTGGTGATGATGATGACAATGATGATGGTGATGATGATGACAATGATGATGGTGGTGATGATGACAATGATGATGGTGGTGATGATGATGACAATGGTGGTGATGATGATGGATGGTGATGATGATGGTGGTGATGATGATGACAATGGTGGTGATGATGATGATGATGGATGGTGATGACAATGGTGGTGATGATGATGATGGTAGTGATGATGATGACAATGGTGATGATGATGGTGATGATGATGACAATGGTGGTGATGATGATGATGGATGGTGATGATGATGACAATGGTGATGATGATGATGGATGGTGATGAGTGGGAGGAGCCGTGGCCTCAAAGTCGCCTCCCTCGACCCGACCGCCACTGCCGCTCCCACTCAGTCGGTCTGCAGGAGCCAGGAGAGGCAACGAAGTGCGTGGAGTTCTCTCTCTGTGTGTGTGTCTGTGTGTGTGTGTGTCTGTGTGTGTGTGTCTGTGTGTGTGTCTGTGTGTGTGTGTCTGTGTGTGTGTGTGTCTGTGTGTGTGTCTGTGTGTGTCTGTGTGTGTGTCTGTGTGTGTCTGTGTGTGTGTGTGTCTGTGTGTGTGTGTGTCTGTGTGTGTCTGTGTGTGTGTGTGTCTGTGTGTGTGTGTCTGTGTGTGTCTGTGTGTGTGTGTGTCTGTGTGTGTGTGTCTGTGTGTGTGTGTGTGTGTCTGTGTGTGTGTGTCTGTGTGTGTGTGTTGTGTGTGTGTCTGTGTGTGTGTGTGTGTCTGTGGGTGTGTCTGTGTGTGTGTCTGTGTGTATGTGTATCTGTGTGTCTGTGTGTCTGTCTGTGTGTGTGTGTCTCTGTATGTGTGTGTGTCTGTGGGTGTGTCCTTGAAAGATCTGGGCAGGGTGCCATCGATGAGCTTTTCGGCTGTGTTGGCTGGGTCATGCAGCCCGCATGCCCAGCCACCGCATGCCGAAACAGCTTTTGTTCGGCCGGATCGAGGGAGCTAAACGGGCGCGGCACGGGCTAGAGAAGAGATGGAGTGATGTGGTACAGGAGGATGTGGAGCTGAGTGGACTTGCCGATGACTGGTACCAGCGGTGTCAAGATCGGCCTCTGTGGAGGAGGCTCGTAAAGGATGCTGCTGGGTAGTTGGAGGCAGTCGCCCTCCAACAACAACGGAGGGCGGAGGAGCGACGCTCACAACAACGAGCGGAGCGCCAGGTGGCTAAAGCACAGCAGGTTGGCACAGTAGGGGGCACAGGTGGTGCATCAGCCAGTCATCTCAGTCAGTCGACCCGTGGCACCTGGGCCTGCCCCGTGACCTCCTGCCAGCGGGCGTTCGACACTTCACGTGGCCTGAAGGTGCACGTGGCCTGGCACAAGCGTCGTGGTGACGTCACCGCCACTTAGTGGCGAATGTCGGTTGTTGTTGTTGTGTCTGTGTGTGTCTGTGTGTGTCTGTGTGTGTGTGTGAGACGTGGGGTGGTTCTGTCTCCTACCAGGAGGTCTCTGTCTGTGTGTGAGAGACGTTGGGTGATTCTGACTCTCACCAGGAGGTCTCTGTCTGTGTGTGTGTGTGAGACGTGGGGTGAATCTGTCTTTCACTAGGAGGTCTCTGTGTGTGTGTGTGAGACGTGGGGTTATTCTGTCTCTCACCAGGAGGTCTCTGTGTGTGTGAGACGTGGAGTGGTTCTGTCTCTCACTAGGAGGTCTCTGTCTGTGTGTGAGACGTGGGGTGATTCTGTCTCTCACCAGGAGGTCTCTGTCTGCGTGTGAGACGTGGGGTGATTCTGTCTCTCACCAGGAGGTCTCTGTCTGTGTGTGAGACGTCGGGTGATTCTGTCTCTCACCAGGAGGTCTCTGTGTGTGTGTGTGAGACGTGGGGTGATTCTCTCTCTCACCAGGAGGTCTCTGTCTTTGTGTGAGACGTTGGAGTGAATCTGACTCTCACCAGGAGGTCTCTGTCTGTGTGTGTGTGTGTGAGACGTGGGGTGATTCTGTCTCTCACTAGGAGGTCTCTGTCTGTGTGTGTGAGACGTGGGGTGATTCTGACTCTCACCAGGAGGTCTCTGTCTGTGTGTGTGTGAGACGTGGGGTGAATCTGACTCTCACCAGGAGGTCTCTGTCTGTGTGTGAGAAACGTGGGGTGGTTCTGTCTCTCACCAGGAGGTCTCTGTGTGTGTGTGAGACGTGGGGTGAATCTGACTCTCACTAGGTCTCTATCTGTGTGTGTGTGAGACGTGGGGTGAATCTGTCTCTCACCAGGAGGTCTCTGTCTGTGTGTGAGACGTGGGGTGGTTCTGACTCACACCAGGAGGTCTCTGTCTGTGTGTGTGAGACGTGGGGTGGTTCTGTCTCTCACCAGGAGGTCTCTGTCTGTGTGTGAGATGTGGGGTGATTCTGACTCTCACTAGGTGGTCTCTGTCTGTGTGTGTGAGAGACGTGGGGTGATTCTGTATCTCACCAGGAGTTCTCTGTCTGTGTGTGTGTGAGACGTGGGGTGGTTCTGACTCTCACCAGGAGGTCTCTGTCTGTGTGTGTGTGAGACGTGGGGTGATTCTGTCTCTCACCAGGAGGTCTGTCTGTGTGTGTGTGAGACGTGGGGTGAATCTGACTCTCACTAGGAGGTCTATGTCTGTGTGTGTGTGAGACGTGGAGTGGTTCTGTCTCTCACTAGGAGGTCTCTGTCTGTGTGTGAGACGTGGGGTGATTCTGACTCTCACCAGGAGGTCTCTGTCTGTGTGTGAGACGTGGGGTGATTCTGCCTCTCACCAGGAGGTCTCTGTGTGTGTGTGTGAGACGTGGGGTGATTCTGTCTCTCACCAGGAGGTGTCTGTCTTTGTGTGAGACGTTGGGGTGAATCTGACTCTCACCAGGAGGTCTCTGTCCGTGTGTGTGTGTGTGAGACGTGGGGTGGTTCTGTCTCTCACTAGGAGGTCTCTGTCCGTGTGTGTGTGTGTGTGTGAGACGTGGGGTGGTTCTGTCTCTCACCAGGAGGTCTCTGTCTGTGTGTGTGTGTGAGACGTGGGGTGGTTCTGACTCTCACTAGGAGGTCTGTGTGTGTGTGAGACGTGGGGTGGTTCTGTCTCTCACTAGGAGGTCTCTGTCCGTGTGTGTGTGTGAGACGTGGGGTGGTTCTGTCTCTCACCAGGAGGTCTCTGTCTGTGTGTGTGTGAGACGTGGGGTGGTTCTGACTCTCACTAGGAGGTCTGTGTGTGTGTGAGACGTTAGGTGAATGTGACTCTCACTAGGAGGTCTGTGTGTGTGAGACGTGGGGTGAATCTGACTCTCACTAGGAGGTCTCTGTCTGTGTGTGTGAGAGACGTGGGGTGATTCTGTCTCTCACTAGGAGGTC